CCCAGATGAATGGGGAAACTACTCCATAGAGAAAGAAGCAAAAGCAGATTCAGACATGGAAATCATACTGTGAAGTTGGATTCCTGCTTCTGGACGTTTAATCGCACTTCTCCAAGCTCAAGATGGGCTCCAATGGTGTTGAAGATCGATCTATGGCGCTTGAGAACTCTGGTTCGACGCTTTCTCTCTCTAGGTATCGGTTTCTCTCTCAAAAACTCGGAACCCTTTGAAAATTGGCCTTCTTCCTATTTTATCAACTGCCTGGTCGCGATACCCGGTCAGAATACCCGGTCGGGTATTTTATGGTTCGACCGGGTATTGTGAAACGCACCGTTCCACTAAAGGCGAAAATCCCCGGTCTACCACCAAAATCCCCGACCGGGGATTTAAGGCCTTCGCCCGGGCCCCCTTCTGTTTCTCACGGGTGCCAAAAACGATAAATACCCGGTCGGGTATTTTGCCATCCGACCGGGTATTTTCCTCCTGCAGCCCCCTTAGTCCCAACTCGGCTCCTTTCGACCCAGAACTCGTTTCTCCGCCTTGATTCCAACGCCGGGACCTGAAATATGACACAAACACACAACCTGGCGTAAAATCGGCTTAAAACACGAGATTCCTCAGCACAAACGGCTCCAGAATAGGGGTGAAAATATGTATAATTATCGGTCTATCACAAGCCTCATTAATGAAGATCCGATCCAACCTCTTAGCTATTGGATTCTCTTTTTGCTTATTCCACCATGTAAACAAAGCTCCCATGACCTTATGCTCCTCCAATTTCATCTCATTAACCCAGGCCGGAAACTCTACCATACTGGAACTCATTACATCTAGATTTGAGGTCTCCTTTGGAGATAAAACAGCATTAAAATCTCCCAAAACAGCCATAGGTAGCACTCTGTCTTGATGGGGCAGAAGTTCTTTGTATAGAACAGACCTCTCACACTCCTTATTCGGGCTATAAACCACCATAAGAAGAAAAGGAGTTTCACCCCAAACTTTCACCTTCAGAAAATGCTTGCCATCCTCAACTTTTGTAATCTTTAAACCTTCCTTCCAGAGTAACCAGATTCGACCATTAGGGGACTTAGGGTAGTTATTCAAATTCTACAAATGATTAAACTGTTTAGAAAGTATACCTACACTATTAGCTTCTGTTACTCTAGTCTCTATAATAGCTATTATATCCAACTGTAAACGAAAAACTTTCTTTCGCACTGCAGAGTGCTTGTCAGGGGCATTAAACCCCCTGACATTCCAACATAGAACTTTCATTTACCTCGTTTTCTCCCTCGACCTCTGCCTTTGGCGGGTGCAGGGGGAGGAGCAGCAACTTGTTTCGGACTAGGACGACTCAAAGATGGAAAGCTCCTTTCATCCAAAGACAACTTCCCAGAAGTACTGCCAGAACAATTCCATGGACTCTTAATCGACCCAGGAGCAGGAGCTCTCACTCGATTCTTCCTATTTGTAACCATCTGGAACCCATCCTCAATCGTAGCAGTGATATCCCTCACCTCCGCAGAAGTGGGAGACTGACCAGACTGGAGAGGGGCAACAACTTCAGCATTAGCAGGATTGGAAGACTCAAAGACTTCCTCCAGTAAAACACATTTGCCCTTATCCTTAGGATACTGAGGTACTTCCAGAACTTTTGGCTTCTTAATTACCCAAACTTGCTTCGTTCTCCCTCCGGGTTTGGAACAGTCATGCCCAAAAACATTACACTTCATACATTTGCTCGGAACATGACAATATTCCACATCCACAAGCATCTCTGGCCTGCCATCAGGGGTAATACTCAGCTTGTTGACCATGTTCGACTTCACTGTCACCTCAACGCAAACCTTGGCCACCCCAAGCCTCGTCCCCTGCTTCGTAGGATAATCCATACAAAGCGGCTTACCCAAAGAACTTGCTATCCGCCCTAACCCCTCCTTCGAAGTCATCTCAGAAGGAAAATTCGACAAACTCACCCAAACTGGAACAACAGAGTTATCAATAGCAAGAGGCTGGATACCTGGTTCCCATTTACGCAGGAAGAGCATATTCTCCCTATGGTGCCAAGGCCCCCCTTCGAAAACCCAGCGGCAGACCTCCGCCGTCGGAAATTGGAAGAGAACCAGCTTATCCCCCAACCATGAAACCCTAATTGCTCCATCGCGCCCCCAAATCCAATTCGCCCAGAAATGAATAGATGAGAGCGACGCCGGGCGATCGAGAAATTGCTCAACGAGACAGTTGACCCAACGCTTAGAACCTTCATCAATAACAGACGCAGGGATTCACAGTGAGCCATTAACAAACTCTGGCTCGTAATAATCCAGCTTAAAATCAGAATGAAAACTAAACCGGGTTAGATCCTGTCCTTAAGCTCAACTCCTCTGGACCGGTCAAACTAAATTATCTTGCTTTGACTTAACATGAGACCTTCCCCAAATCAATCTCGTCGAACATCTCCACCGGCGGAGACACCTCCGACCCCATTGCCTTCTCCGGAATGTCGATATAAGTTTCGAAGTTGATTCCTCCGGAATGTCGATATAAGCTTCGAAGTTGATTCCTCCTCCTCCCTCAGTCCCTCTCCGGGTTCATCTCTAGCCTCCTCCTCACCCAGAACTTCCAGCTTGCCGAATTTCTCCGCAATCCCATTGGCGAACGACGAAGAAGAATACGATATGTATTTGTCCCGCCGTTGAAACCCTGTTGGCCGAGTACATACGCGCCGCCTCCGTAAGTAATCTCCCAACCCTTTTGGTCGCCGCCGATGGAGATAGAAGAGGGGTTTTGGGCGTGATGAGGTTAGTAGACGTTTGGGGTTTTTTGGTTTTCTGGGAAAGATATTGGGGTTAGTGGAGGTTTGGGTATTTTTGGTTTTCTGGGTGTAATGAGGAGAGGTGAGGGGATTTAGGGGTTTACATGTTTTCTGCTCTGTAAATTTGTGAAAGTAGGGTTAGAGATGAATGAAGAAATGGGTTTGTTTGATTAAGAAAGAGTGACTAGGAGAGTTGGAGATCTGAAAGCTTGATGGAGTGTATCCTTATTTTCATTTTTGGAGGTGATCGAGGAAAAGTACGGGTCGGTCGGTGGTGGCCAATGCAGTCAAAATCGCGTTTTAAAACTTAAAATCTTACGGTTTTACGCATCTAGGTCACTTAAACGCTTTTGTTTCCATGTAAAATCTTAAGTGCATAGAATCGGACTAAATTGCGTTTTAAAGCTTAAAAGCTTACGCTTTTACTCTTCTAGTTCACCAAAATGCTTTACGCTTTTACGTTTTAGTTCACTAAATGGATATTATTTTCATGAAATGTATTATAAAAAGTATATTTTAAGGTAAAACACCAACCATATGATAGATTTTAGATTAAAAGATACATATCAGGTACTTGGATGCATTCTCAACTTCAATAGAGTAATCTAATTCACGAGCTAGGTCTTTCCCTAACATAGGCAGGAAGGTGGCTTATTGTTAAGATCTATGTTTATGAACTTATTGTTAAAAGATACTATGAGTTGCTCTACTTTAGATGTGAATTACAAGTATTTATTAACTTGTCCAAATTCTGTGCACTCATATTTTACATAGTATATATCGTACTCAACAGATTTTTAGTTATTTTACAGTATGCGTCAAAAACTTACGCTTTGATTTTACGCTTTATGGTCAGGTTCTCGCCGAGCTTTCAATAACATTCTCCGATCAATGCGGGCGCAAAATGAAGAAGCTGTGTGGTGGCGACTGGCGAGCGAGGAAGAGGGAAGGGGTAAGAGATGGGAAAAAGGGTGCATAATTAAACATGGTTACTTTTATTTTACATTTTTAATTCTTGCCACTTCATCATAATCTTTCCATCTCAACATTTAAATTGCCATGTCAGAGTCAACTAACGGTCAATTGGATGAAAAGTTAACGGTTCGTTTATTGTTTTGTTTTTCGAAAGGTTTGGCTATTATTTTCTTTAAAATGAAAGATTTGATTATTAAATTGTATTTACTCATTTTTTCTTCTTACTTTATTAATATCTTTTGAACATAACGTCTAGAAACTCGGTTAAATTCTAGTTCTGGTAATTGTTTTAATCTCAAATAATGTCTTGTGTGATAACAGTAATAAATTATCGGGTTTTTTTATTTTCTTTCTTTTGCAATAATACACTAAACTAAGTCTGACCCCTCCCTCTAACCATCAAATTCTGGCTCTGCCCCTTGATGAGTTAGAATGGTTACTGGTATTTTAGCAGCTATCGTGACTACATACATCTCCCCCTCTATTCTCGATATTTTTTAATTGACCGTCATAATTGTTTAGAGATACTTTTGATTAAAAATAATAATCACATCCCACCAAAAAAATCACACTTAGATTATTATGCTTAAAATATAATTTTTCATATATTCTCTCCAAACCATACTCAATTCTCAATCAATCCTATAACCCAGAGTTTTTTTTTTTTCTTGTCTTGACCATCATTGTACTTTCAACAATGAATTATCAAATGTGTGTGTTTTGTGTCTCAACATACTAATTCAGTTATGATATCATGCTTGGACTGTTTGTGATACAATAACTAGTCTAAAATGATATTGTCATTTTTGTCATATAATAGGTCATTAATTATGAGGAATTTTACAATGCTATATAGCATTGGTGCTATATGTTTTTGTCTTTATGGTACAACTTAAAATTGTACTTTTAACGTTATAGTACAACTTCAGATTGTACCTATACTTTCTGTACAAGTTCTTTTATGGTACAACTTAAATTTATACCTTATGTGATGGTACAACTTCAAGTTGCAAAGTTGTACCATAACATAATGATACAAATTCCTTTACGGTACAACCTAAACTTATACATTTAATGTTGTGGTAAAACTTCAAGTTGTACCATTAACTATACCTCAACCTGCCATTCGTTGTATCTCCATCAGCATCTACAACAAGGGCCTCTTTCAAGGGCCTCTTTCGTGTCTCTCCTCCTATAGCTGAAATTCCATCGCCAATCACCTCGTCCGCCATTTTTCCTTTTTTCCAACACTTATGGCAAGTTCCTTGCTCTCAAATATTGATTTATCCTACATCGACTTCATGGAGCAGTTTATTGGCCTACCTAATGCTAGAAGTATTGAAGTTCTTGGATTGAATGACAATGGCAGAGGTTTCTTGAGATACATCTTTGGTAAATGTTAAGTTTTTTGTTACATAAATTATAAATTGAGTTATTGAAATAAATGACATTTTGTTTGTGTTCTCAGCCCAGACCATTGTGAATCAGATAGACAAATGACATAACTTCAACATCATAGGCTTAGTCGTTTCAAATAAGAATTGGATTTGTACATGCATAAAGAACAAAAATATATCCAACTCAATTACCTCATACTTTCATGATCTTCAATCTTGATTGTCCTTTGAGAGACATCAAACGTTCATATCTTTATATCTTGATTGTCCTTTCAAATTCCTCAACTCGTGGCAGAGCCATGCTTTCTTATTGGTTATATCATTGGTCACCATTAGAGGTGAGGTAGATCAGTTTTACAGAGGTGATTTTGTTGGATGACATGTACATACAGCCTCTAAGACACAATAGCCATTTCCATATTTCTCTCAGCAAACGGACTCCTCATCTAGTTGAAGACATGGAATTTGCTCCAATATTGGTTATTGCATGACCACCATGGCAAAGTTATGAGCAATTCGTGATGGACTCGAGCTTATACAGTCCCATGGCTTTGTATCATTTGATGATAGAGTCTGATTGCGAGCTTGCAATCCAACTTATCAACAAAAGACATGACCTAGAGCATTCTTATTCGACTCTCCTTGCAGCAATTAGACATTGGCTAGCTCAAGATTGGCTGGTTAGTATCAGTTATAAAAATTGAGAAGGAATATACCAGCAAAATTTGCTGTCAGAGTTCAATCTCATCTCTAACTACAGTATTTTTGAACTTACCACCTCTGGAAGTTAACCAGATCCTCCATGATAACTATGGGTGTCGATTTTGAATGTCATGTGAACTCTCGTTCTTCCTCTGATCTCTCTCCACCATACTTCCATGTTTTTTCCCCCACAAACACGGTGCAAAACGTTAATCAACCGTCTGGTTTTCTTCTCTGTAAACATGTATGACTCTAATTTTAGTAGTCATGACTTTGATGGAAAAGACAAAATATCTGTGTATTCAATTTTAGGGATTCCCTGGCATTTGGTAGCAGCAGATCGTCAGCCCCTAGATCTTGGCCTTAGGCACCTATTTTTGAGGGATTCAATTAAAAGAATGTATATTTTCTGCCTCTGGATAAAAAAAAGTTTTTTTCTAAAAAAATTATTTTATTTCTTAAAGAAAATTCTTTGAGCTCTCAATCGTTTAGGGTTTACCTTCACCTGTTTATTCTTCTAAAATCTCAAAGGGTTTCATCTGCTGAGCTTTGGTATCTTCTTCTAGGTCTCAACAACAGCCACCAAGTCCCCTGTTCTTGCTTTGATTGAGGTAAATATTTGCACCTCTTCTTGTGTTGCTGCTTCTTGGAATCCTCAGAACAGAAAATGCATTTCAATGCACTAGGGCTAATTTTTTTTCTTTTTCTTGAGAAAATAGTTTGGAAAATGTCTTTTTTGGGTATTTATTAAACACCATATTGGTTTCTCAAAAGCTTCATTTTGAGCGTACATAGATTCAAATATTCTATAACAAATTTCTTAGAGCCTATTATTTTTGTAGTTGATATTTCTATGTTATGCTCTTAGTAGTCAAAGAAATAATTGCTACATGCACGTCTTACTCTTTTAATTCATTGATAATCCATGAAGATATTTGATGAATTTCTCTCGTATCGAAAAAATCGAACGAGCTAAATTCAATGCCAGCTCTCTTGTCTGGTATGTTTTACACACAATTTGTGATATGTTAAATAAATAAATAAAAATACGAAAATTTCACCATTTCTCGTAAGAGTATGGTCTGATCGGAGTTTTCGACGAAAGGTTCCTCGTCATAGAAGTGGGAAAGGAAAACCTTAAAACCTTCATCATGGAACCAAATTAGTTTCAGGATTTAAGATCAAACCTGGCCAGATTGGCCTTCCTAGACCAAGCCAATTGAATTTGGTTTTGGTTACAGAATCCTGGTAAATCTACATAGACTCATTGGCTAAATAACAATCAAACGACAGATTAGTCCTTTCTTTGCAGAGAACATGCAGTAGGTTGTGATAAACTTGATTCATGCCACTTATTGACAATCATTAACTTAAAATAATGATGCAAAATGGACAGGAGTAACAACACCAAGGCTTAGATGCAGAGTGCCTCTCGAAGATATCAATCCTGAGAGGCCAGACTTTTGCAGAAGAAATTGGGTAGGAACATAGTAACTCTCCTATGAAACCTGAGGCTGTAATAACTCGGAGTTGAGTTGAATCGCGGTTCAAGTTTGAGTTCGGTGTTGCTTTTCTGCTGTTGAATGCCATTGTCTGTCTACGAAGACAATGCTTTGTTCAGCAGAGGATTAAGCACAGAGAAAAATGTTACAGAGTTGTTCACTCAGATAAGATATCCATGGATTATCTGTACCTGGTTTCCACACCATCTGTCAATGTGTTTGGTGCTGCCACAACGACAACTCAATCCATCACTTCTTCATGTACAGCAAAAACTACGGTCCTCGGTGCTGCTAGAGTGCAGCATGAGGGTCGAAATCAGGATGCAGCTGAAGATAATGGTTCTGGTGGCTTGATTGATCAGAAGGGATGCAAGGAGATGAGTCCATCAGGGAATAAGGTCACGAGGAAGAGTTTGAAGAGGAAAACAAGAAGGAAGGTGAAACGGAACATGCAGAGTCATCATGTGTCATCACCCTATGATACTTCTGCCGGCTCGAGTGTCCTAGAAGTACAGTTGGAAGAGTCATGTGGAAGGTTGGCTGCTGAAATATCACTCGCAGAATGCAACATCAACAGCAAAACTGAAGGAGGTGACATCATGATCAAGGCAGTCAGCTTCCGTAAACCTCAAAAGAAAAGTAGAGGCCAGCTTACTGCTGCTCTGCCTTCTGCATCAAAGAAGGGTGCGTCTGCCATGACAAAAGCTGGAACCACTGTGGCACTGAGTTTGCGTCATCAAACAGGAAAGGAAAATAGCTACTCCGTGTGGCAGAAGGTTCAAAGGAATGAATTGGGTGATTCTGATGCAGAAAAGATTGGTCTTGCGTTGAAAGAGGATGCTTCATTTAAAAGGAACTATGTTGATGTGTCTAAAGTAAGCACACCATCCAGATTAGAAGATAGAAGGCAGGCAAAACACAAGGCTCCCAAGAAGCTGAAAAGGAGAATTCTGCACTTGAAACGAGATATATGCAGCAACTGCCGTGGCTTGAGAGTCTCATGCCCCCACAAGTTTGGTCTCAATGGTCAAAACATGGTAAAATGTGTTCCGAAGCTGTCTTATAAGAACGGGTACCCCAAGTCTGGGTTCCAGGCCCTCGGACTTGAGTATGTCAATTCTCAACCAACAGATCATGCCCCACAAGTTGCAAGAGATGACGCATCGGATCTTGCTAAAACTGGCAACGATCCCGAGTATAGTATGACAGAGAACTTCACTGAGAGTCAGGATACATCATTGTTGGAGTTGTGCAACTCCTTGAATGAAAATGAACTTCAGGTGGAAGAGCACCCAGTTTCCATACCTCAAGCTTCGCCCAGCAATAAGGTTAACCAAACAACCAAAGAAGTTGAAACTGCAGACTTCAACAAGCAGAGCCATAGCTCCTCTGGGTCTATTCTGCAGAAGTGGATACCCGTTGGGGTAAGGGAACCAGAGTTCACCTCTTCTCATGGATTGGAGAAGACGACAGTTGCCACGGATTCCCCAGATCAAGTTTCTGAAGATGATGACATTTCTAATAGAGAGGAATGTGATCAAAAGATGGGCAATTCAGATGATTCTAGATTAGAGCAAGTTAATCAGGGTGTAGCTAATACATGCGTAGTCATCTCATCCCGTCTTCAGGAGCTAACTACTTCTGAAGTTGTGGGTTGGGAGGGGATACTGAAAGCGGTACATGACACATTTGAGATGCAACTGGCATCTGAAGCCATAGAGGTTGCGACAGGATGTCCAATAGCAGAGTTTGAAAGACTTCTTCATTCATCTTCTCCAAGCTGTCAAACCCGGTCACTCGACCAAGTTTGTCATACTCCACTTGACAGTGACGAGACACCTAACATTTCGCTCCAATCTTTATGGCAGTGGTACGAGAGGCATGGGATATATGGCTTAGAAGTCAGAGCAGAAGATCATCGCAACTCGAATAGATTAGGGATTGATAAACTTTCATTCAGTGCTTACTTTGTCCCCTTTCTATCAGCGGTTCAGTTGTTCGGGAAGAGTGAAGGGAAAGCTGATACACAGAACAATGACTCACTCCATCTTGTTTCTAAAACTTCAACTGGGCATAAGGCATGGAGAAATGATGCAGAGCTCTTGTTCGAGTACTTCGAATCAGAAAGGCCTCAACTAAGGCAACCACTATATGAGAAGTAAGAAAACAATCCCACTAATAAATATCAAATATTGCTCTCCAATATTTTATCAGCTTTATAGTGTTTCTTTTCATCCTCGAATTCAGGATACATGAACTCGCCAGAGCTGATGACCTTGCAGGGCGCAAAATGTTCGGGAACCCATCTACTTTGGTCTCTATGAATCTACCAGAGCTACACAAAAAATCCTGGTAATAAAAACAGTACCTGTATATGATCGGATGGCTTTCACTTTCAAAGATATCTTCATTGCACTAAGCTAGTGCACCAGAGAGTGATTTTCCTCACAGATCTCTAACATTGTCAGGTTTTCGGTGGCATGGTACCCAATATACAAGATACCAGACGGAAGCTTACGAGCTGCATTCTTGACATACCACTCATTCGGACATTTGGTAGAAAGAAGATCCAAATTTGGTTCTCCAACCATGGTTTGCCCAGTTGTGGGTCTCCAGAGTTATAATGCTCAGGTGACTATAAGACGCAGCTTCTGTGGAAATCACAGTGGTCTTTCTTACTTCTTTCGACAGTCTATCGGCATACGATCTAAAAGAATGAATTTTGATCTGAGCAGGAAGAATGTTGGTTTCAACCACGGCACAGTGCCATGGATTTCCAGATGACAGAAGAAGGGATGTTGGAACCTAGTCAAGTCCTGAAAGAGAGGTTGAGAACACTTCAAGAGACGGCAAGTTGCATGGCTAGAGCCTCAGTAAACAAAGGTGATGAGAACTTAGTGAAGAATTGGCATCCTGACTACGAGTTCTTCCACTCCAGGCAATTCTACTAGAGGAGTTTGTGTTGATGCAAGTGTTCCAAATACTACTTTTGTGTGTGTTAAATAGTTTAGAGCTCAGGAAAGAGGCAAATAGAGCCTCTCCTTTCTTAAAATTTGAATTTCTTTTTTCTTCTTTTGCTTTATTTAGATTAACACTAGTTAACATGCACAAATATTCGACTATCATTTTTCTGTAATTATGATTGTCAAAAGCTTGTTAGATTCATAAATGTTAATATGTCACTACTCACTAGTAAGGTAATCAATTGACGTTAAATTATGATGTACAAGGTTATCTTGATTGTAAATATTTGTACAAAAGGTTGCTTGTTAGATTGGATGTATTGATACAGTTCGAGTCGCTTTATCTCCGCATCCCTACTAAAAGGGTTTAGTTTAACCCTAGTGACGACAAACACACAATTTCAAGTGCAATGTCTCATCTATTAACATTTTAACGGTCTGTATCAAATGCTGAAACATTCATGTTACAACTGATAAACTGGACACTGAAAATCTTAGGAAGAGCACTGATGAATAGACAACTCAATGATGGTATTCTCAATGTGTACAGGAAGGTTAACACGAATCATTTCCCTCTGCCACGTGCTGTGAGATTCATTAACTGGGATTTGATGCCTTTGTCTACATGGAAAGTAATCAGGGATGGCTGACTTACTTCGCATCTGCTGTGTAAATAGGAGCAAGTTCACTTTCCTTAAGAAGACTAGAAGACTTTTAGATTGCAGGTATTCCAAGGATGATAGCGCTTGTTTTATGATTCCTCAGCCTTCCCAATCTTCATCACTTCCTCCCTCATCCTGATACGAAATATAAACAGACATATAACATATTAGAAACAACAAGTGCAGTGATCCCAAGACATCATCACATGGTGAATGCAGAATCTCATCGTGAATAAAACATTCGAGGCACAGGAACATGATATATGGGGAAGTTACTTTCGACAAATAATTTTGTTCAAATGACACGCATTAGTGGAACTACACTGTTCAAATGGTATATGTTTACAACAGAGCGTGGGGCTCACTTTTGAAACAAACTTCTGCAATTGAAGGGAGTGTAAGAGTTATTTTAACAGAATATCTCACCTGTGAGGAGCTCGAGAATTCTTCAATATCGTCTTCTTCAGTCTGCAAGGTTGATTAAAGAAATTATGTGTTGTTAACAGCTTTCAGTATATCCACCTATCCCCAAATAGGCCCCTCTATATTTATTTTCAGCCCAAACAAAACAACGCCCAAGTCTTAGAATACAGACTTTACCTCATGTACTGTTTTCTTCGCCTTCAATCCTGAACCTAGAACAACATCAAAATTAGCAAATAATATCAGAGTACATTACAAACATTTCACCTTTGAATGAAAGTTTCCTATACATCAAACATCAGATTAGTGTAAATGTGTGCGCATACGCATGAGAAAGATCACATGAAGATAACAAGACACAAGATAGAGACCTGATTTTTCTACTTGAGTCACTTTTCCCTTTTTCTTCGATCCATCAGCCTGCAAACAGGAACCTCGATAAGTCAAACGAACGTGACAGAGCAAGTCACGGTTTTCCAATAGCTTCCAGACAAGGGTCACTGTTGGAGACAGAAATTGTAGGAGAAACAAGAGGAAAAAGAAAAGGAGAAAAGCTATTGCTCACCAGATCAGCCTTTCTTTTTGAAGTTCTATGCTCTGAGTTATTTCCAGAAGGTGGGAAGAAAAAGTGAGAAAGGGGTAATTGAATGAATCATAAAGGAACAAGAAAGAAAACCCTTTATCAGTATGGATTTCTAATATCTAAGTTTCTTCAGTGAACAAAGCAAATATCATTAAGCAGAAACCTTTTGAAGATGATGTTTTCCGTGAATCCTTTGGAGTATCCTGGCAAACAGGAAAAATCATTCTAAGATAACAAAGGTATAGCTCAACATGGTAATTCTGTTGGAGAAGAGCTAACCAGAGTAGCACAAAGGAAAACACTTAGGATATCCCAAAAAGAGTTGATACTTTATTTAAAGAATTTTATAAGGTTTCTGATTTTGACAAGCTTCATAATTTCTTAAACCATTTTCACTACAATATGGAGACTGTATGTGCAAAGAGACAAAGACAAGTTTGAGATCCAGTTTTCTTCTAGATCAATAGAAAAATTCAAAAACCAAGACAAGATCCAGAAACACAAGCAAGCAGAAATATGTCTTACCTTCTCATCCACACTTTTTTTCCCCTGCATTTTGCTGAATAATGTAGATAGGGTAACTTGAACTAGTGAGCCAGGATTAGTGCATGAGGCTTCATTGGACTTTGCTGCAGGAACAGTGGGCTTGGATAATTTATTGGGTTTCAACTCTGATTTTTCAGATGGTCGAACTGGAGAAGAAATTCCAACTTCTTCAGATTCCTGGCAATTAGTATTGTTAAAGGAAGTACTTAGTTTTACCTATACCATTTGTAAAACAGACATCACAAGTATAGATAATAAATCATGCCAAATAAAAATAATAGTACAACAGAACTTCAAGACCAGTTGGTTGCCTACTTTTCTTTCTTCTTCCTCCTCTTCTTCCTCTTCTTCTTCATCCTTAGATAGGCCAGTGTCATCTTCTGCAGAACCACCGCCAGAAGAAAACTCAACGTACCTGATTTAGGAAACCATAAAGATCAGCAGAATGCATGGTTTGCTCAAACTAACATAAGGACTTATTTCCTTATGAATGATCAAGAGGAGCCAGCTTATTTGTAATGGAAGCAACAGAACAGAGGGAGAAATACTTGTGTAGCTTTAATCAGCATCAAGGATAACATAGAAATAATAATTTGCAGATATGCAGCTTCTGATACTTTACAAAAACATCCAACACTAGATCCACACATAAGTAAAGAGGATCTGCATATAATTGATCATAGGGACATCAAAGGATAGTTACTACAAATCAGAAAGTCACAATTTTCTTATGTGAAAAACACGGTCATTATCTGATCTTTAAGTTAGACAGAAAGGTCAAAACTATTTTACTTTCACAATACCATTCCAAGCCGGCGAAGAATGGATTCATAGCTCTCAGGTTTGGTCACTAAGGAGCTAAATCATTGCCTGGATACTTACGGAAGATATCAGCAGTTATAAAAAAAAAAGGCTTGACTTTCTAGTATGTATCCTAGCATTTGAAATGATTACAACTCCTGCTTCAACTTAGTTCCTCCAGTCCGTAGCATAAAAATCTACCTAAGAGAATAAGCTCCAATCAGCTGAGAAGGAATGTTTGAGAAGGACTAGCAGAGCCCTGATACTGACCAGTTATAATTATATTATGCCACAAAACTGAATTTTTATGGCAAGAAATGTGTCTTTCTACCAGACCAACTATAAGAAAAAGGCGAGAAGCAGGGAATTCATTGTATAAACTCTATGAATCACCTACCAATCTATATTTTGTGTAAATTAGGATACGTAGAGGCAGATACATTCCAATATTCCATGACTCATCACCTGCATAATGGCCTGGAATAGCCCTTTCATCTTACGTATTTCATCAAGGAACTGAAATAAATTTGCAGGGGATAATATCTACCAGCACTAGACTATCATTGACATCTCTCGTAACTAGATATCAGCTACTCCTTACTAATGGCATCACTTGATCAGTTTGAACTCATGTTCGAAATAGTACCTAACCAAACATGTATTTCCAAGGAACATCATCTGTTTTATCTCACATAAAGAATGGTCATTCTCATTCTCTCAGTATCAAACAACATTCGGAACAATAACAATCCTAAGGTGAGAAAACAACACAAGAGACTGACAGCACCTGATTTTCTTTTGGGCAGTTCGCTCAGAATGCCGTATAGGTGTAACTTCCTTCAAATCCATAGCACCAGAACCATCCATTTCAATATCAGATTCTGAAGAATCTTCTTCTGCATGCTTTGCTTCATTTGTATTAACAATCTTCTTATTCATTGGCTCAGCACCAGCTCCACCTTGAAAGTCATATTCAACTTTCTGCAGCTAATACAAACCAGTTCGATAACAGGTCAAATGGATTAATCATTTAGTTCCCTTCTCAAAAACCACATTAACAACATAGCTTGAAATGCCTACCATGGAAATAGACCAACCTGAATCAGTTCCTTGGGAAAATCAAGCCGGGATTCTTCAGGGTTCTCTTCTTTTGTTCCAATCCACCAAGAATCAGCAAACACAATCTATGAAACAAATATATCCAAGTGACAGTTGTTAAAGCCAGGAAAGCAATTAGAAATGAAGCCATGAATCTGGAATCATGTGTAGGTATATCAATATCCACTGCTTCACACTTGATCACCAGCTCAAATTATAGAAAGAGAGGAAGTTAAACAGAAAATGGACAGATGCAAAAAGAAAAGTATGTACAAATGAAACTAACCATGTTATCAAAGTAGTCCTCGCACATCACATTCTTCCCACCCCTTGAGAACTGTAAAGTTAAGTATCTGTTCTTCGGGTAGATGATGGTTCCAAACAACTTCATCCGACCCTACAAACAAAACCTAAACATTCTCAGAACAGAACTTGACAACCATTCATATGAACAAAACCTACAAGTTCTCTAAGCTAAAGCTCCTTCAATCAGTACTCTTAGAGAAAGAATTTAAATCCCATGAAGAACTAGCTCAGTTTCAGCAACAAAGACAAACCCCGTGTTCACTGTCCAGTCAACCAAAAGGAACATGACGTTGACCATTCTAGTCCTAGTCTTACAACCTTCCAATGTAACAGTTCAGAAAAGACGATTGGCTACAATTCCTGGTACATCTACAGTACAGGGATTCTCTTGTGTTAGTGTGGTCACGATTCTATAATTCCAAACTTGGACTATGATCTGGCACATCACTGAGCTTGGCCAAAGTGCAACAAAAGGAAAAAATAAGACACGAGCTAGCGAGGAAAAATCAAAGCCAATGGGGGAACCTGAGGGAAATCAAGGTAGAGAATAGGGTTTTTAGTCCCCAAATCTTTGAGCTCGCCAACTTTGCCCCCAGTAATTGGAGCCATCAGACCAGGAAACGAGAAGAGAAAGCGGTTCTTCCTCTGCGACTTGCGCAGAATGTCCTTGCCGTGGTGTTTCGCCACAGTCTTGGCGGGGGCGAGCGGCGCATAGTTGTTGGCCGGAGTCGCCGCCAGCTGGTTGTTGGAGAATGCGAGCTTCTTCAATCGCTTCCGCTCTAAAGCCTCCGGGTTCTGACTTTGCTCCGCCGAAGCTTTCTTTGAAGCTCTCACCATGGTTAGCAGTGAAGATGGATCGGAATTCGGAAATGGCTCTCTCACTCACCGAGGAACTGAGAGTAGCGGAGGTGAGAATCACACGCAGCTTCCGCTTTTCGTGCTGCTGCTGTTGCAGAAACAAGAAAGGCGGGACTTCGCACCGTATTTCCTGTTTTCGCTTTTCCCTCTGATTTGTTGAGGGATTTTTTTTTTAGAGTTACTAATAATTTAGGGCTGTCAATTTGGATAACCAAACCATTAGCATGAAAACCAAAAACCAAAAACCAAAAACGGTATATTTACAAAAAAACCAAAACCAAAATCATTAAGAGGCTTATTGGTTTTTGGATAACCATAAACCGATAAGCTCCTTAATGATTTCGATAAACCAAAAGCCAAAAATATGGTTGACTTCAAAAAAATCAGGGGTCCTTCAAGAAAACATGGGTCCTTATCGGTTTATTGGTTTTTTTATTTTAACCGAAACCAAAACCATTCATATGCTAAATGGTTTAAAACCGAAAAACCAAAACTGTTAACCTTTTAAGGGTTTGGTTTTGGTTAAAACCGAAAAACCAAAACCAAATTGACAGCCCTAGTTACTTTTTTCGTTCTAAATAGGGCAAATACAATATAATATCCATAACTATTATGTATCGGGGATTTATATCCGCAACTATCAATATACAAAGTATTATCCAAAATTACTGTTTCGCGTAATTAAATGGATAGAACCCCATTATCGTGAGTTTAATTGTAACGGTGCCGGACACGTCAGCCGCCTCGTAGGATTCCAAGTAGGATTTCAATTAAGTACTAATTTTATTAACTTTCTTACCCCTTTTCATTTCAAATGTTCCCCCAAAATCCTAGGGTTGGCTCCATACGACAGAGACGAAGTGAGGAAAGGTCGCCGCCACCGTCATTGCGACCTTCACCACCGTCGCTTCCCGCCGTCGCTTCCCACCGTCTCGACTTTCACCGCCGTCGCTTCCCACCGTCGCGACCTTAACCGCCGTCGCTTCTCCCCCGTTTCACAGCTTGTTCGATTGAGGAACCCTCCTAGTCCAGGGAAGAAGACTGGTTCGATCGAGGAACCGTTTGTCTTCAAATCGCGAGGGTAAGTTCTTCTATTAACCCTGCCCCTGTCTACCTCTTTCCATCGCCAACTGGTTGGAATTAGGAAAAGGTTGTGCTAAAACCCCAGTTTGATACACGAATGGAATGTTTCTTTTCAGTAGGAAGAATAATGTCGGCATTGGAGGGATCTTCTGGTTCAGCCAACACAAATGACGTTGTCGGGCCGCTGTGCCATTGTAACAAACCCTGCATCGTGAACAAGTCTGGTACTAGTAGGAATCCAGGAAGGCAGTTTTACTGTTGTCAAAATTGGAAGGTAATTGTCTTTGTTGTGACGTTTGGGTTTGTTTACCTATGACCTTCATCTTAGTAATAGGTTTCTTTTCATTTGTAGACGAATGATTGTCGGTTCCTCCTATGGGTGGATAAGTATATGAGAAGGAATGGATCAGTGTGGTCTACACATGATGATGAGACAGTTGGTCTTAAGGCAAAACTTATGGAAGTGGAAGCAAGCAACAACAAGTTGTTAGAAGAGTTGAGTAGAATGAGAGAAAGTCATGCAAGGTTGGTTTCCGAGCTGAGCAGAATGAGCAACATTATCTCTAGCTTTGACACGAAGATAACAAGGTTGATGTACTGTCTAATTGGTGTCATAGTTTACGCTGCATTCTGTAGATTCCAGGGAGTTTGAGGTGTAGGAAGTCTCGCGAATCGTCCAGTCTCCTCTGCCGCGTCGATTACACTTCCTCTGGCGCGGGAAAACTATGCGATTTCGTCGGATGAAGTGGGGGCGGGGGGACTCTGGCAATGGCAGTCTCGCCGCCACGCCTGCAAGACGGTGAGTGGCTCATCGGCGACTTTGGGTCATCGCAGACGAAGGGGGAGATAGGATGGACAGATGAGAGAAGAAGGGGTTTAGGATAAGAATCGGGTGAGTGGATGTGAGAGGAGGGGAGGATATTTGCTTTATTTTTTAATTTTTATGTTATTTATTATTATTATATAATCAATTCCACCTGGGATGCCATGTTCTCCCTTCCACCTCAGCTTTTTTTGCCAGGTCAGCATTGCAGAAAGACATTCTAACAGGGTATTAACGGACAATTAACGATTGGATAATACTTTGTATATTGATAGTTGCGGATATAAATCCCCGATACATAATAGTTATGGATATTATATTGTATTTTCCCTTCTAAATATTTGAATTTATCGCCCTATAATATATTAAATTATTTTAATATCCTTGATTTAATCTTATGGTTAAGAAAGCCCAAAACAATGATTGCTAAAGACAGACTCAAAGCTACATAGGAAGGAAATGGGTTTTCTAGAGACAGGCTTGAGAGAGAAAAGCTCTCCCCTCTCTCCTCTTTTCCCCCTCTTTTTTTTAGCTGTTGTTTTGTCTTTTTTGGGTTTTGAATGGAGCCTCCAGCAGTGGCCACTGTTCCCGACCCAAAACCTCCAGATTCGTCGCCGGCGGCGACTCCAATTCAACCTAGCAAGAAGGCAAAAGCCTTCTCGAGCGCAGGATTCTCTGGAGAAGGAAGCATGGATTTTGCGGTGGTCACAACACGAGCGGATGACGGACATGCATGTGAAGATGAAGGTAATGAAGACGTTGTCGCCTCTGCATCTGAAATGCGACCAGGAGACAACGAAGAACATGGTATGACAGGGGAGGATGGAGGAACGGATCATCCTTTCTGGGGAGGGGCTCACATTCCTATAAAGATTCAGTCCTTGGCAATCGACCACGCTTTGACCCCTCTGCAGGAGAAGAGCTTATGTCTGATGAGCCAGACAACAAAGAAGGAGAAGATGATCCGGAGTGTCCCACCATCCGAGTCAAGAAGGGAACTAATGCCAGAATCCAGAGCCGCTAGAATCGAGCTATTACCTTTGGCGTCTTAGGGAAGCACTTCCCCTTTGCCTATGTCCATATGCGTGTTCAAAGAATGTGGGCTAAGACAGGGGGAGTGAAGGTTAGGGATACTGGCAATGGATACTGTCAGGCGGTGTTTGATTCGCAATTAGATCATGACAGGGCACTTTATGGCGGGCCCTGGACTATCGACGACCATTGCATCGTCTCTGAACCATGGAGGCTAGATTTCGATCCCGATTATGATTCAATTAACCACATCTCAGCTTGGGTTAGACTCCCCCGACTTCCACTGGCATACTTTGATGAGGAGATCCTCACTGATATTGGGAAAAGGCTGGGGGAAATGCATAAAATTGATTACAACACGGCTAACGGCTTCAGAGGAAACTACGCCCGAATTTGTGTGAGATCGACTTGAGGAAAAAAATTGTCTCTAAGTACCGATTGAAGAGAAGGTTTCGCAGGGTTGAGTATCAAGGATTACATGTTTTTTTTTTTGTGTGTGTGGGCTATATGGCCACCTCGAGGAGAATTGCCCCACCAAAGCAGCTTCAGGGTGCCCGGAGGGTGAACATAGTACGACCTCCACACTGAAGGAGCAACAAACACAGCAAGTCAGGCCTGAAATCCTTGAAGATTTTGGCCCTTGGATGCTAGCGGCAAGACCAAAAAGAAATACGAACCAGATGAAGAGTCGTGTTAATGAAGGAGCCTCCAAGAAGATCAACACTGCGGAACAAAAGAAGGACAATGGATCTCGTTTTAGTGTGTTGGCTGTCGAGGAAGGAGAGATTGAGACAGAGGAGCGTATGGATGTTGAATTAACGGTTAGTAGTCCCAGGAGAGGGGATAAGCAAGTTGAGGAAGCTAATGATGACCACCCGACGAAAGGGGAGAGTGGAATCCGTAGGGACGATTCAGAGGAGAACAAAGAGACATGTGGAACATAAGACCAAGGTAAGAACAAGGGGGAGAAAGTGGGAAAGGGAAACTGTGACAGGAAGGATCCCCAGCAAAAATCTCGCGAGAGGCTGTTAAACAGAGGAAAGTCCCAGCAACAACAAAATTGGCTGACCCTAAACCTCATGCATTGAAGGATGGCAAGAAATCATAGAAGGAAGAGTCATTATCTCAATCTGCAGGTCAAGCTAAGTCTAAGAGTGATGGAAAGCGTCCTAGTAGTTCCAGGAAACCAGGAAGCGAGAAGGGCTCTTCCAAAGACTCCAAGCCAGGACACCAGCTGAAGATGAGAACGCCAACTGCCTCATCTACAAGCTCATGTCCAGGATTGGATATCACCACCTCTCTTGGCAAAGGGACCATCATAGGTAGAAAGATTGATTTCTCCCTGAACTAGGGTATTGACACCAAGGTACCAGAAAATGCACAACCTTCATCAGCTGATCCAATGGAGTGTGCTGCAGGAGAGGTGGAGGCGGCCAAGGCCACTGTCCCTCATTAACTTTCATCCTTTGGGTTGTTCAGGGAAGTTGCTAATTGACACGCCAAAACACAACACCAAACTGCGACCAAGTGTAATCGCAGCCCGGGAATGCAGTAACAGGCAAGTTCTATTATCAACCCGGGGTCTAGATCTACTGCTTACTCCGTGATTGTCTATTATCTAGCCAACTAAGTCGAGTGATTTGTTGTTTAAACTAAAAGTAGTAAGAAAGCAGGAAATGGTTCGATTTTCAAAAGCAGGAAAGAGTCACTCGGGAATGAGTCCCCCTAGCTCCTTAGTTAGGTTCAATTGTAATTACCCTGAGTTGATTTACTGTTGATTAGACTGCGGAAGATCCGACAGTAGCTTGGAATCTCTTAAGCTAACCAAGCCCTCTCAGTCTAACTACCCGGCAGACGACTAGTCTTCACCGGGATAGAAAGCTGAAGCAATAAGCACAGAACTCCACTACTGGAATTGAATTCCAGTACAAAGCAGTAAACTGGCTAACTCTCGTATAACCAATCTCCTACTATCGAATGAAGAGGCTCTAACAACCTAATCAGATTCTATCTATCTCAGGTTGCAGCAGAAATCAAGAAAAGCTTATCAGACTTCAATCAATTCAATAAACATGCATCATTCGATTAAAACCAAACAGTATAATCATCCCAAGTCATTACAATCAAATCCCTAACACCAGGAACTAGGGTTCTTCATACCCAAGTGAGAGAAGGGTTCTACTCCATAGAGAGAGAGAAGAAA